CTCCTACCTATCTTGCTTCCTCTAATTCTACTTACTTCAAAGTTTGCCTTTAATTAAGTAAAAACATTTTTTAAAGTGCAGTCATTTATGCTGAACTTATTTAAACATAAAGTTCCAGATCTTAAGAAAAAAATGTATAAGATTTCTACTGTTTCAGCCTTTCTAAGTCTTATAATTCAGTTTTATTTTTCTAACTTGCACCCAGTAACTCTTTTTATGAAAACAAAATGTTGGATTTTGTATCAACATTTTATGAACAGATCTCAGAAACACTCTCTGTTGGCTGCTTTCTTGAACTGATTTTTTTTTTCCCTTCACTTTTCCAGAGTAAGTTAAATAGAAATATAAACAAAAAATTGTCATGTAGGTCCACTGGTTGAGGTCAACAACTGTTTTAAGGTTAGCTATGAAACATCTTTCGTAGTTATAGATGTGTTCCAAAATCTCTGGCAGAAGTTCATAAAATGAGGTTAAGAGATTATTATTTCCATGACTGTTAAAACTCCAAGTCAAGTAATTCCTCATCAGATGAAACCTTTATGTTTCCTTTCCCCATCCCCCATAAGAATAAAAGTTCTTATATGGTCGATCATGCATCTAAAATAATTTGGCTTGTCTAAGAATAAATATGTATTCACACTACCACAATATAAAAATTTACTATAAAAGTGTTATTTAAATTAATATTTCTAATTGAAAACATGACTAGGAAAGATTGATACGTTACAGAGGTTTTCTGTTTGTTTTAAAAGTTTATTACAGAGAATACTATGCATAAAAACAAGTTATAAAGGCTGTGGATACAAATTACTTCATTAGTTTTCAAAAATAAAACTTAATAGCCATGTGGTTTTGATAATCACTTATGTACAATTATTATAGTAAAAAAATATTTAAAAGACCCACAAGGCTAGCAGTAACAAAATAATACCATCTGGAACTTATTATGGATAAGTACTTATATGGATAGAAAGTACCCAAATAAGGTAGAAGTTAAGATATGCTGGATAATGTACTCATCAGTCTAATTCTCTTGTCATTCAGCAACAGTAGGTCTAGAATAGCAGGGGGCGGGGGAGGGCTGAAGGAGGGAGAAAGAGTGTGGGAAAAGGAGAGAGAGACAGACACACAGTCAGACACGTCCTTCCAGCCGCTGGCCATTCTGGCCCTTCCTTTTTCTGAGACATTGACATCCTATTTTCAGAGAAAGGGAAGCCTCACCAAAGTGCAAGGGGGAATAAACGATGTGCTTGACTTAGGAGCTACCCGCGGCTGATGTGAGTTCCTGATGAGTTACACATTATCATGATGTAAGTTCGTGATGCCCTAAAGAATTTCAGGGTGATTTTGACAATGAATAAATTTTCCCCTAAGGAACCTGACATCCAACAAAGATGTGACTCCACTCTGTTAATATCCTTATTTGACAGATGTGACGATCGAGAGTGGCTAAGTACCTTGCTCAAGGTCACAACGTTCCAAAGCAGGGAAGCCACAATGTGCACCGATCTATAGCTAGTTTAGTCCTCCTCCCACCTCGCACTTCCCCCGCAGCCCCCCATTCTCAAGTCAGCACAAGGCGTCGTGAGAAAGCAGTGTCACACATGGTACTCTCAGACACTCGGCAAACAACTTCACATCCATTATCAATAT